CCACCCCCCCCCATCCCAGTCCCCACCCTCCCCTCCTGTCTCCCCTCCACCCACCCACCTATCCCCTCCATCCTCTCCTCCCCTCCCCTCCTCCCCATCACCATCACCACCACCTGTCCCCAAGCTCCCCTCCCGTCTTTCCCTCCCTTCCCGTTCCCCCTCCACCCACCCACATGTCCACCACTCCCCTCCTGCCTGTCCCCTCTCCATCCAAATCGTCTCTCCCTCTCCTAACCTGTCTCCAGTAGTTCGGATTCTTTTCAAACGGCGTCAATATCACGTCATACACATCCTCCAGGGCCGCCAGGTGTTTGCGCCATTTCATGAACTCCTAAAGCAAGCAAGCAGTGACGGTGGGCGGGTGGCAGGATTCTTACATCATGCTCGGCTCTGTCCAGCATGGCCTTGCTCGTGATTGCTCTCTGCGATCTCCCCATGAGCTCTGATAGCAGATAGACAGCAGGAACGCACCCAGTCGGGCCTCGTCGGGATCGGCAACTCAGTCAACTCGGGAGGCAGTGGCGGTTTCCTGTTCCCGTCGATGACCTGCGAGTCGTCGTCAGCAGATGCCTCGGGGAAGGGAGTATCATTTCCTTCCCGTTCATGATCAGTTTCGTCTGCCCGCTCGCTGTCAAAGAGTCGGACATCGAGAGGATCCTAGCCACATCGTCCTGCGATGAGAGTCAGAGGAGTCAAACTCCGCAGCACGTCGCTGCAGGGAGGGCCTCACCTCGTCGTCAACGACAGACTTCCTTTCGTTGTATATGCCGTCATCCCATCCCTTGTCCTCCTGGGCCTGACGCGCCGCCCTGATCTTGCTCCTGGTCAAGCTGCTCACGATCGACGAGTGCGCGAAAGATTTCCGGGGAACTTGACCGTTTCTACGGAAATGGTTCAACCCTCCACTTCGAACATCGCTCAAGGACGAGAAGAAGATCAGGAGCAAGAACAAGGAGCTCCGCGCAGGCATCTCAAGCTGCACACAGCTTCACAGCATTCGCTCAGTTTAGTAAATTGCAACTTGAATTATCGACATCTTGGGTAACTGCCGTTAACGGACCCCCCCGCGTCAAACGAACATGGTCTGGCTGATATCGCTCTGCACGTGACCACGATTGGGAGGATTGTCATCCCGGAAGGAGGGAGGGTTTCGCTCAAAGTTCTTCTCAAGCACCTGCTACAGCATGAATCCCACTCCTCCTCCTCCTCCTCCTCCTCCTCCTCCTCCTCCTCCTCCTCCTCCTCCTCCTCCTCCTCCTCCTCCTCCTCCTCCTCCCTGCTTCTCCTTCTTCTGCTCCTCCCTTCCTATCACCTTGCCAACTTTGTCCTCCCTCGATTCGTCCCCCTCCTCAACCGCCACCATCTCCTTCTTTCCTCCCCCTCCATCCTCCGTCCTCCTGCTCCGATCTTGCTGCAGTTTCCTCCCTGACTCCGCCTCCTCACCAGGCGTCCAGGAGGCTCAGTGGCCTGATCCGCCGCCTCGTCGACGCCTCTATCGCCTACAGGGAGTGGCGATTCCAGCAACCCCAGCAGGAGGAGGACGTCCTTCCTGTTCGTGCCCAGCTACCTTCCCAGCTGAGAGCTGACCTGGTGGCGGGCAGGAGGCCTCTAGAGCATCGCCGCGCGCCTGGGTCCAGGCGTTGTACCCCCAGGGGTCTACCCAGCAGTTCTCCAGCTTGCTGGAGGGAAGACGGGGGTGGTGGTGGGGAGGCTGCCGCTGCTGAACCAGCTGAAGTCCAGCAGGGGCACTCGTTCG